CCCCAAGCACTCAAAAAACAGCAAGCACAGTAAAAAGCGAAGCCGCTCTCAATCAAGGCCCCGGGACAAAGACAAGAAGATGCGCTCGAAGTCCCGAGAGGCCAAAAGGAGTCGCAGGAGAGAGTCGCGCTCTCGGTCCAGATCAAACACGGCCACGTCTCGCCGGGAAAAGGAAAGAGCCGTCTCGCCGCCTGAGAAAATCGATATTTTCGGCAGGGCGTTAAGTAAGAGGAGTGCTGTAGATGAAAAGCAGAAGAAAGAGGAAGAAGAGAAGAAAGCCGAAATGGAAAGACAGAGGAGAATGTGAGTACCTCCACGAACCCTGTCACAGATGTACAGTAAACATCACCTGAACAGTGTGAGCCACATGAGGACCCTTATAAAAAGTACTGGAAGTACCATGGTACTACCATCGTATTATGGGAAGTATAAATACATGCATTTCAATAGTGTTTATTTACACTGCCTTATTTCCAGTACACGTCAAACTACCAAAAGATGCTATCATTGTACCATGGTACTGCCGTAAGGGTTAATTATCTTAATCATTTATGCACAGAATACCATGGTATAACTGTAGTGAATGTAAAGAAAATTATATTACCATTTAACCATGTCCAAAATACCATGATAATGCGTAAATGTGTTTTTTGTTTGTTTTGTTTTTTTGGGTAGTGCAGTGACTAGATTCACAAAATCTGATTATTTATTTATTTATTTGCTTTAATATGTAATTATGCGTCATTAATTAAATGCATCTGATATAGGGCTGCACGATAAATCGCATGAGATTTACCGCTGATTACAGAACCGGCTTTTCTGACAGGATGCGCGTTAACTATCGCATGCGATTTATCGTGCAGCCCTAATCTGATAGTAACTTTGGTGAAAAAATAAAATGTCTGAATTTGAATGTTTATTTTGTGTCATCTAAGAAAGTAACCTTCATTATCGCTGTCATAAAACCAATAAGCAGTCACCATAGTATTTAAGAGATAGATAAAATACAAAATTATAATACCTTAACGTCAGTGAACAACGGCTCTGTGTAGTTAATGCTGCTCAATGTGAAAGCCCGCACGTGATGGAGATTTACCGCTGATTACAGAACCGGCTTTTCTGACAGGATGCGCGTTAAATATCGCATGCGATTTATCGTGCAGCCCTAATCTGATAGTAATTTTGGTGAAAAACAAAATGTCTGAATTTGAATGTTTATTTTGTGTCATCTAAGAAAGTAACCTTCATTATCGCTGTCATAAAACCAATAAGCAGTCACCATAGTATTTAAAAGATAGATAAAATACAAAATTATAATACCTTAATGAAAATGATTCTCTATTGTTAAGTTACTATTCAACATTTTTATCATTTTTTGGTCTTATAAGTTGACCGCCACTGGTAAGCTGACACTTTGTAGTTGCTTGATTTTCCATGCACAATAGATAAAATGTGCATTGCATTTCAAGTTGTTCACTTGCGTCATTGCATAATTGGCATTAAGTACATTTTTATTTCACAATGCTAAACGAAACAACTGACTTTCTTTTCTTCTTTAGTCGACAGCAGGAGATAGAGGAGCGTCTGATTGAGGAGGAGACGGCACGACGCGTAGAGGAACTTGTGGCCAAACGTGTGGAGGAGGAACTGGAAAAGCGAAAGGATGAGATTGAAAGAGAAGTGTTGCGGCGGGTGGAGGAGGCCAAACGCATCATGGAGAAGCAGTTGCTAGAGGAGCTGGAGAGACAGAGACAAGCAGAACTGGCTGCTCAGAAAGCTCGGGAGGTAACTTCCACGTGAACAGACAACACAGAATATCTCTTATTAATGCTGATTCAATGGGAAGGTTTTCCTGTTTTGTTGGAAATGGGCCTGTTTCACACCACATGCACATTTTGCAGGCCACATTAACAGAAGTAAAGAAAATATTCAATACAGTGACCCAGAAATCATGTTATTTTCAGTTTAGAGCTGTAGTTTTTTTTGTTTGTTTGTTTGTTTTTTGCAAAAGCTACTGGTGAGATGGTTGCCTGCTGTTGCTTTACTACATACTGCATAGACGCGTAGAGGAACTTGTGGCCAAACGTGTGGAGGAGGAACTGGAAAAGCGAAAGGATGAGATTGAAAGAGAAGTGTTGCGGCGGGTGGAGGAGGCCAAACGCATCATGGAGAAGCAGTTGCTAGAGGAGCTGGAGAGACAGAGACAAGCAGAACTGGCTGCTCAGAAAGCTCGGGAGGTAACTTCCACGTGAACAGACAACACAGAATATCTCTTATTAATGCTGATTCAATGGGAAGGTTTTCCTGTTTTGTTGGAAATGGGCCTGTTTCACACCACATGCACATTTTGCAGGCCACATTAACAGAAGTAAAGAAAATATTCAATACAGTGACCCAGAAATCATGTTATTTTCAGTTTAGAGCTGTAGTTTTTTTTGTTTGTTTGTTTGGATGGTAGCCTGCTGTTGCTTTACTACATACTGCATAATTGTGTGGCGTTAAACAGGCTTCAGCCTATTTTTTCCTCAAAATTAAAGGTGAAATAGATTTTTTTCCCCCGAATTTTAACTCTAATCTTACACGCATCATTGTAGCTTTGTGTATGATGTAGTGCTACCATTCTATTATCCTTAAATTTCCTGTTTCACCCTTGACAGTTTTAACAAAACAGCTCATGCAAAACTCCTGCGAGTTCCATGAGCCTTTGTTGCTATTCGCCTGAACTTCACTATCCCTCTCAGTTGCTTACGGTTAGAAGTGATGATAGTTGTTCACGCTTCTGTTCCTCCTATACACCATTTGAGCTGACTGCTCCTCAGACGGCACTTCACTGTGTGGCTATTTTCTGAGAGTGAGATGTAAGTAGAGACGTACCGAGAACACAGGTCAGTGGTTTGAAAGAACCTCACTTGCTGATTGGTGGTATATTGTTAAGTTAAAAAAAGAACATATTCCCAACTTGACCATGACTCCTATAGGAAATATTTCTTGATGAGTGAAGGACAAGTTTACTGTAGGTTGATCCATGTCTGGTGAGCTGAACGTATCTTCATTATCTACTCATTTGTTTGTTGTTCAAGTTGTGCAAGATATTTTTGGGAATAATTATGTTGTTTGTCACTACAATTCCACTGAAACTGTTTGCCTTCGCAGGAGGAAGAGAAATCAAAGCGTGAAGAACTGGAGAAGATTCTGGTGGAGAACAATCGCAAGATAGCCGACGCTCAAGCTAAACTGGTATGTGTTGTTTAAAGCGAGATTGAACTCTAATCATAATGTTATGTTTTATTCTATAGAAAACATTTGAGTTAATTAGGTGCGGTAGTACTAATGGTGCAACAGAGGAAAAGCTAACTGATTTCTGAAATTCATGCATTATTAAAGTATTCCTAACTTACACTTGAGTTGCAGTTGTCATTAACATTTTTACATTATTAATAGTTTTGTTTATTGTTACAAACGATTTCTGTCTTAAATAAACATGTTCTTTTGAACATTTTATTCATCTTGGAATAAAAAAATCACAATTTCCACAAAAAATAATAAATTCATGCAGGTACAACAATGTGCATGATGTCATTGTTTACACGGTCGTCAAGGATACGCAGAGCCGAATGTGGGCAGCCAGGCCATCGTTTTTAAAAGTCTCCATTTTGGTCAGTTTACACTGAAACGCAAACCCAGAGTTTTCAAACTAAAACGGGGTCTGCAGCGTTTTCGAAAGTCTCCGTTTTCAAGGGTCGAAAACGCTGGGGTAATGTAAACGAAAGGGCGTAACCGTAGCAAAAGTTGTGCGAGTCCACACCACAGCTATAACGATGAAGGCACAGATAAACGATATCGTTGGAATCACTTTCAGAATTACTTTTTCCAGCTGATGAACGATAAAAACATTGACAGCCAATCAGAATCAATCCTGCCATAATGTGCTTGAGAATTTAAAGCGGCAGACGAGCGTGCGCTTGGAATAAACAGACGATATCGTCCGCTGGTGTGGACGCTAAT